ATATTTTACTTAAACTTATGAATTTCGTCACTATGTCTAAGATTTAAAACACTATTAAAACATTTCATGAGGCTTTTAAATATAAATTATCAGCGCTTCAACCATTCACTAAGTACCTTAAATTTGTAATCAAAATAAAACGTGTCGTTTTGATGTTCTTTACCATCTTAAAAGTCACATGTTATCCTAATGTTCTCTACTACATAAACTATTCCGTTTAGAGTATAGTATTTGTAAGAACAAAATTCAATTTTTTTAAGACAGAGGAGATAGCGAGTAATCCATTTCAGTTGTTACGCAGCAAGTACTTTTGGTATCCACAGCCTAGACTGTCAAAAGCATCTTCCTCTAACTGCAAAACTAACTACTACTTACTATATCGTATGGTGTCCAATTCTTAGTTGCGCTTGTGTACACATAGTAACCGGAAGAGATTTTTCATTAAGTGTACTATATATATATACATACATTTATATTTTTATTTCTATTATTGTTATTAATAAATTTAGTTCAACTGTGCTCCACAGCGAGCTAATGGAACTTTTGGTGTAACTATGACTATTTCTTACATAAATTACTTTATATTTTCCAAATATTTTAACAGTGACTTAGTTAACACGCTTATAATATAGTATTATCAAAATTTACATTGAGGCTTATCCCTTTCGAAACTTATACATTCCTAACATTATTTATTTTTTAATGTATATAAACATACACACATATACAGTTTAAATAAACTTTACTCTTATGGAAGTAGTACATCTTTTTCCATTGTTATTTAATTATTCTCTATTATATTTAATGTTAATTTCCGGTATAATTTATATATTTTATGAGTCACGAAGATAATGACTGATATGTCTGTTAATTTTAACTTTATAGCTACAAATATATCCAAAAAATAATAGTGGTAACTATCCTTTGAAGATATGTAGTATATTTGTGTTTATTTATACACGTTTTGATATATTATATTATTTATATTTTCAGCTCTATGAAAAATAATTGATTGATGTAAAATTATCTTATTATTTTAATTATTAATATTGAGGTTTTAAAGATTTAAATATTTATTTCAACTTATAATTTACATTTAAGTGTAAAATCTGATTATAAACTTGAATAATTTATAGACAAAGTTAAATTATGAATGTTAGTATTTTTAATAGTATTGGTGATAAAAATGATATGTTAATAAATTGTTATTCAAATTTGTAAATATTCTTGAAATCTATTTTATGCACGTTTTTAAAATTTTTATAAGGATATTTTGAAATGTTATATTTTTTCTATATATAATAATATAATTACGTTTAAACTAGAAATAATAAATATATTATTTATTATTAAAGACGTTAATTTTTAAGATAAAAGTGAATGTAATACATTTAAAACCCAAATAAATTTTCAGTTAAGTGAAATTAATTATTGTTTTGAACAAATAAATTATAAAGTTAATAGATTATTTAAGATAATTTTAATTTTATATGACTGTGTAGTTGTTTATCACAGTTTTTGTGAACATCAAATAATTTAATCTTCTGAAAACTTATAAAATAGAACATAAATTACATACTAAAGATAAAAACTAAGATATTTAATATGTTTAAAATAATTTGTCATTTTAATTTTAGAGTTGAAAAAATATATCTATAAATTAAGTTGGGGTGTATTATATTTTATGTACTTTGGTAACATTTTTAGGTTAATATTTATCATAAATTATGCTATATTTAATTAACATACATTATTATTAAGCATATTGACAACATATTATTTCATTTAACAATGTTCACTGAATAACTTTTTGTTTTTCGTAATTAAACATAATAATACTTGAAAGACTAATTTTTAAACTCGTATATGTTAAACATACGAGTATAAAATACAAATAAAACATACGAGTATATGTTAAACATATTGTATAATTTCGAGAACATTTTTGTAATTTAATTCAATGTTGGTAAAGACTTGATTTAAAATTCAAACAAAAAATATTTACTATTAAATATATTTCAAATATTTTTCAATCTCAGTTTATTCAATTTCTCCAAGACTTTATTCTATATAAATCCTAAATATGAAACTTTGCCTTTTTTAATAAAATATTTTAAAAATATATATAAATTATTTTATAACTATAAATATACTATAATATATATAAGTGTTGCGATGAAATTATGTAATTATGTAAAATATAAATATGAAAATCTTTATCGATAATAAACGGATGCTAATGATCCTAATTTTAGATTCTGTGCCAAGTAATAGCGGTATGTTTTGCAAATCAATGTTTTTTTTTTTTTTTTTATCAGTTTTTCAAGCACTTTGAACTCTCAATTATTTGTATATTCTCTACCATTTCAAACATGAATATAATTTTAAAAAGCATCTTTTTATTTTTAATTTCAGTTCCATGCAATTGAATGGTGAATAATGTATCATTGTATAATATTTTTTCATCTACAAATTAATAATACTAAATATCTTAAAGGGACACTCACAAGTTCAGAGTTGACGAAACTAACCATAAGTATAGCAATAAATATTTTTGATAAAACTGTCGTACTGACAGCAAGAATTTAAAAAAAAAACAAAACAAAAGAAAATAACAAAAAATATTTATTATACAATATCGTAGTAGTAGGTAAGTAAATAACAAAATAAAATAACCAAATAGAATAACAATCAGTAGTTAATATATCATGCCGTAGTGACAGTGAAGATATAAGAGAGAATAATAATAATTAAAATTACTTGTATACCTGTCGAAATGACTAGTGCGATAGAAACGGTACGCTCCGCAAGCGACGAATTGACGGGAAAAGAAAACTTTCGAGTGGTTTAACACCCGATTCAATACCAGAATAACTGTAACTATTGCCCTATTTAGTAGGATAAGAGAACGAGCGATGCAATTCCGGAATTACCTGACTATTGCACTATTGCTCGGTTCACAAAACCACTCGATCAGTTTTGGGGGAGATCTTCTTTCCTAGTCATGCAAGTCATCTCAAGTAGGTCTTACTTCGATTTCGGAAAGAAGTTGAATGGTAACTTTCATCGAGTTTCCGGGCCTTTTATATCCCTTGGATCAACAGTATTGATAAGTAAATTTAAATATTAAATTTAAATAATAAGAAAAATATTAATAACTCGTTCAGGTAATTGAAAATGTATAGTAAAAATATATTTTAATAATGATCCGCGTTTATATATGGCAGTATCGCTTAACGCAATTATTGAAGAATAACTCTACATAAAAATAGTATTACTAACAATTTTACGATAGTCATATTTTAGTAATAATCTGCAAATATAAATATAAATGCAAATTTATAATGAGAAAGTCAATTATAAAAATGTTTGATGATTGTAATAATAATCTGCATATATATAAACAAAAATTTATAATCATAACGATATTTGGGGATATGGTAATCATATTGTAATAATAACCTAAGTTTATAGAAATTCAAATATAATGTATAAAATGATATAAAATTCGGAGCAAACAGTCAGCAATACTTATACTATAATTATTAACAATATATATATTACTGACAGTGGATTTTTCAAATGACCAGTATAAATTATTTTCAATACTGAGTTTGTTTGGCATTCGACTAGTGAAGATGTGAACTTCGATGAAGCAGTGTCATCGTATTTTTATTTATTTAAAAAATAAAAATAAAATACATATATTAACACTGATAGTACATCAGTACTCACATCACACAATCAATAATACTATCAGTAATATTGATCGTATAAAGGCCGTATACCGGTTTAATAATTTAATGTTCATTTAAATTAAAAATATAAATTAAATCACTCTATGTTTGTAAAAATAAAATAAAAAAATATGAAAACCATCAGCGATGACTAGAGTAAGGATTATTGAAAGCACTTGTTTTTTTTGCTATTACTCTAAAACAGAACTATAACAGCTATACATTTTGACCTATATTACAAAGAATCAAATGCATAAAAACGTATTTTGCTTTTTAAATGTGTTCTATACAAACGTATTTGAAAGATTAATAATATTAAAATATAAATATATAAATAATAATAATATTCATTTTATATTTCATAATGTATTCCAAGGATATGGCTTAGTTGATTTTATTTCATAATATTTTATTTACTTTTATCGATAACACTTAGATGATGTTACATATTATATAAGTAGAAATTTTTTCAGTAATTTCCCGGTAACCTATCGTCCAGTGTCAGGTTATAATTTACCGTAGATTAGTTTATCTTTAAACGACAATTAACATAATAATATTATCTTGTACTGGATATTATCTACGCAGAATAACAGTTTGGTTTCAATTTAACACCACGTAGTTCGTTTTTCTTACCAATTGTCACTTAAAATATCGATTCTTGTGCTGGTCTTCGCAATTTCGTAAAAGTTTTTGCAGAAGACATTTTATATTTTTTAATGAATAATATTTTTCTTAAAACATATTTTTATAGTTTTTTAAGCTTTTATTGAATATTTGTAGAGCTTTATTGCTTTATTTTAAGTGTTTTTTATTAGTTTTTATTGCCTCAAAGTCCATAATCCAACTGTGTATAATACCCATGATGGCACAGATGATATGCTGCGGTCTTAATTAGTATGATATAAACGTAAACATTAGATTACCTTTTCCTAGAAAAATATTTCGTTACATTCAGTTGTGATAATTTAGACAAAATTGCACAGGTGTATTTGCATTCCATTCGCGAATTGAAGTAAATTATATTACATAGTTTAAATATATTATTCAGATAAATATATACCGAGAGAATAAATAACAACAAAACAAGCGTTATTTTAAACGCAAGCGAACAAAAAATAAATAAATATATGTTTTTTGTACCGACCGTGTTAATTACCGGTCGAATTCTGTCCAGATTTAGTTATGATTCATTAAAAAACTACATAACCCCTCACTTTTGAAATACTTGTTTACGCATTACGCTGATCAAATTATGCTCACCTAGAAATCCCACAGAGCTTTGGACAGATGCGCTTATGGCGCCATTGGTGAGCGAATCCAAACTTGCACTCAACGCACACGCGCATGCCGAAGTCCCTATGAGGTATTCCAGCACCATGTTCCAGCCGATCAGGAATGCTATAAATTCACCGACAGTGACGTAGCTGTACATATATGCGGACCCGGAAGTATTCGGCACTCGAACGCCGAACTCTGCGTAACAGGCTCCTAAAAGGTTTTGAAAAATAAATAAATAAATTACATTATCTTGGTGAACAACAAACGCGCCGAAATAATATTATTCATTTTACAGAAACCATTCGATTAGTTACTTTTTCATGCGTTTATTGTATAATAGAACATTCATAACCTTAGCTACCCAGAGACTCACATATTTTCAAATTTATTAAAAACGTTTATAAAACAACTACATACCGAACGGTTCTTAATCTGATAATAGTGATGGAACATATAAATATATTTGTTATTTAAATTGATTTTGATCTCTTAAGTAATCGATCGTGTAAGCTAGTTACTAAAATATATCATTATTCCTAACCTATCCAAACTTTAATAAAATACAGTAATAACTCGTTTTCAATATATTTATCGATTATTTATGAAAAAGAAAAAAAAATAAACACAAAATTAAATTTTTACTTCTATTGATAATCAAAAATTTCATTTTAACGAGTCATCAATCAATAAATCAATGATGACTCTACGTATACATATTTTTTGGATAGTTCATAAATTGTTATCAAACATTGTGGTCACAATCACAAAGTTTATTCATATATTGGTTGTCAAAAACATATCTGTTTGTCCACTCCCTTTTTATATTTTGTTCTTGAATACGATTGAATAAATAAAACTGAATGCACATCAAATATGCCAAAATAGGACAAGAAAATAATTTTAATAAATAAATTATTGTCTTTATTTGGTTATTTGGAGGCATAATTTATTGTTAAAAATATTTTTTTATATTTTAAGCATAATGATAAAAATTTAAATGAAATTAAGAATTATAATTCTATTCTAAAAAAATAATTAACTATGTGTAATATTATGTAGAAATATTTAATACGTACAAAAATTAACGATTTTAAGAATAAATATAAAATATAAGTGTAACGAACATGTGCTCTGCAGAAGTAAAACTTCTCAGTGGACTTTGCAGCTAGTCGCATTGAGGATTAATAATTGGAAAAATTTAATTAAAAAAAAAATGTATATATCGCGCTAACGTGTATTATGTCCAACAACGTTCAGCAACGCCACTTCCACGTACTCCCATTTTAAGCTGCTTAGAATACCAAAGATTTGCGCAATTAAAACAGATAATAGATCTATGGGTGAAATAAATCTGTCGCGTTCGCTTTTCGAAAATTCACAATTGCTTGGGTCGCAGTATAGCGTTCCATACATCTTTCATCATACACCCTTACAAACAATGTTTTATTTTAATGATAGCGCATATCCATAAAAAAATGTTACGATTAATTTCCTCCGCTTATTCGTGTTTATGCGATTCATACATAGCGATTCATAATGATTTATATCGAGGTAAAGTTTTAGAATGTAATGATTATTTTTCTTTTATTCGTATGCTAAATTAAATAGTTTTTAATATACAATCAACACATATCGGTTATTGATACAGTTATGTATTATGTACACGTATCGATTAGTACACACTAGAGCTCCTTTTTTCAGGTATACACAAATTGATGTATTCACGTGAAATTAACATTCGTTAATCTAAAACCATGTACTTAAAAAATCAATATTCACATATACTTACGTATTTTAGAGTTTTAATATGTACTTAATTAGTTAGTCGTTTTAGATACAGAAAATCCACTGCCAATTTAGCGTAACATTTGGTATATTAATAACACGATTTTCAAATAAACTAAAAACGAAAACTCATTATAGACCCTGTTGATTCACCAACACAAGAATATTTATTATTTTTATTTTCTTCACATAACTCACAAAATGCTTTTTCCTTTACGTTTTGCATATTCCCACGTCCAACTTCTCTTTTTACCCATAACTATAAAAATGTAAGAATAATGTATGATGTACACAGAATATAGAAAAAAAGTCAACCGTGCAAACTGCAAATATTTGTTGGCAAATTGTGATTACTCATCAAATTTATGAATTGTTGATAAAATTAAGGATATATGTTAAGAGTATATGCTCTTGAGCGTACTCACAATAAATACTTTCAAAATATAATATAATATGTATATAAAATATAAATTTCAAAACTAATATTATTATAAATATAAAATATAACAAAATAATCAAAGTGAGTCACACGCACTTGCGATAAGGATGACTTGCGGCCCATGTAATATTTTATAATATTTTATGTGGCCCAAATAAAAAAAGTTTAGGTATGGCTGATATAAGGTATACTTATCTATAATAGAATGAGTGGGCATTGGACGATATTAAGGCAAGCATTTAAAAATAATAATAAATCAGTGATATGTATTATGCAATCCCTTTTATATATATATTAAAAAGTACCTATCTATAACTATTAACTAGCATTTAATAATAATAATAATTAATTCTCTCGACACGTATGGTAGTTATATGATAGTTATATCATATATGATAGAGCAATGCACAGATATCCATAAATACATCAATAACTCTATAATACGTGATTACGGATTGAAAATTCACGTGTATTAATTATACGTGAATACAAATGTTTCATTAACATGGACTTCATGTTCACGTACTTAATTATTCCCGTTTTAAACCAAGGCCTTTAGTACAATCACATGTCATTATGAATGTCAACAAAATGTGCATGGAATAATTACTGTTACGAATACCTCCGATTTGGACAATATATTTTTGTACAATAGATTTTTGGGTTCATTAATTATTAATACAGACTAGTATCAACATTTAATCGTTGATTGTTAAGATATCGAGTGGTATTAAAAATAAATCAGTCACTTCTGAAAACTTGAAAATTTACCGAGTGAAAAAATATCAACAGTACATTTCACGAAACTAGCGACTCCGCAGTAGTGCTTCCGGTGGCAGATTTTCGTGAGGGTTTCCTAAACGTGTTACTAAAAAAGCGCAGTAATTTAAAAATGACACAGCAATCAACCATTGAACATCTGGCCCTGACCTGCGGCACAGTGGTTGGGAATCCCTGTATGAATCCCTGTATCTTTAGTATAGATAGTCCTTGATAAACACTAAATCGCATGGTGATTGGTGAACGTATTACTGTTGATAATGATAACAACCACATTATTTTGTTGGTATGTTTACATCATTGGAGTTATCTAGACGATTGTTTTTATTGAAAACTTTATAACTTTACAACTTTAATATGACTTATCAGTGAGTTTTTATTGTGTTTGTGGTTGCATTGCATACCTACGTGTCCGAGAAAAAGCGCGAAAAAAATTTTGAACAAAATGTCCATTCGACCTGACGTACATTCTCAGACTAAAAAAACAATTTTTAATGTGTACAATTTTTTTAAAAAATTAGCAAATGACAAAAATAACCCCGTTGTAGCTACATTTTTTCGAAAAAGTCAGGAAATGACTGCAGAAGCATGTGGTGTTAGTGTTGGTACAGTTAAACGGATAACTTCTGAAGGGGCCAAATCGACTACTGCAGAACCCGTGGATGGTCCGTCATTTACATCTCCTCGAAAATCATACAAACGAATGAAATATGCAACTGATATTGATGATTTTAACGCAGATATTGTTCGAAGAACGGTACACGAATTCTACGATAAAGGTCAGTTTCCCACATCACAAAAAGTTTTAACTGCATATCAATAAAAAGTTAACAGTTATAAGGGATCTAAGTTTCCATGTGGCGCATTCTTAAATCATTACATTTTAAGTACAAAAAATGTAATGACGGCCGTCGTTTTCTAATGAAAAGAAACGATATAGTTGCCATGAGTGTCAGGTTTTTAAGGAAAATGCACGACTTAAGGCAAAATAATGATACTCGTCCGGTCGTATATCTAGACGAAACGTGGGTGAACCAAAATCATTCACGTGGAACAGTTTGGCAAAATCCAGAGAATACAGAAGGATTAAAAGTACCAACTGGAAAGGGAAGTAGAATTATAATTTGTCATGCGGGGTCAAGTGCATTTGGGTTTGTAAAAGGAGCAAAATTAATATTCAATATAAATCAGGAGCAAATATTGATTATCATACTCAAATGAACTCTACAATTTTTAAAAAATGGTTTATCGAAATCATGCAAAACTTGGAAGAATCTTGTGTCATTGTAATGAACAACTGCCCTTACCATTCTGTTCTCGTTCAAAATTATCCCAAATCAATTGACAATAAAGCTACTTATCAAAAGTGGCTTGCAGAAAATGGTGTGGAATTCGCTTCATTTGAAACACTCAGTGAACTGCAAGAACGGGTAAAACTTTTAAAACCGAAAGACAAAAGATATGAACTTGATGAAATTGCTCTAGAAATGGGGCATGAAGTCATACGGCTACCCCCATATCATTGTCAATATAATCCGATCGAGTTGATATGGGCCCAGGTTAAAGGGGAAATTGCAAATAAAAATAACAGTTTTAAAATCACATATGTTGAAAACTTGGCAAATATAGCCATAGAATCCGTTACTGTTGACAATTTGAAACGTGTTGATCATTGCGAACGTCTTCAAGAAGAAGACTTTATTAAAGAAGGATTCAGGGACCAGATTTTAGAGCCAATAGTTTTGACAATTAACCCGGACGATAGCAGCAAAAGCGAGGATGACGACGATGAATCACTTCAATTTTAAATATAAATATTCAAATGTGTTATAATTATTGTAAATATTAATGTTAAAACATCAAAAGAAAATGTATAATTTAGTATATTATAATAAATTATATAATGTATAGTAAAATATATTATACAATAGATTAAATAATTATTTTTATTCATATTTTTTAAAAACCGTGCAGTATTCCTAATTTCCGCGTATTGTGTACAAATCTGAGAAACCGCGGCACACTGAAATTTCGCCACTGTGAGCGCCACTGCGGAATCGCTAGTTCCGTGAAATGTACTGTAAGCTCTTCTACAAACAATTTTCGTGTCGATTTATCGAGCATAAACAAGCTTAATTTTTCTTTATTTACTCACCCGAAAACAATGATGCTACGGCGGCAATAATGAATGAGATGATAACTGCTGGACCGGCAAATCTTCTAGCAACCAGTCCGGTGACCACGTACATGCCTGTTCCCAAACACGATCCAACACCTAGCGACGTTAAGTCAACAGTGTTCAGACATTTCTGAAAAAAAAAAAAAAAAAATCAAAACCATAATTAACCAAGTGACATAATAATTGATATCAATTCAATATTTATGTCTTTTTCTATCTTGTAATTAACAATTAGGCTATTCTCATAGGCACTTATTTATAGTAAGTATGCCGTTTGGGTAGTATTTATTTCAATGCGGATTGATTGAAAATTACCTTTATCAACAAGTGATTTATAATAATTAGTAGACATGGTCACCACGAAACAGTGCAATAATGTTCTGTAATATGATAATCAAACGAATAAATGAAATATTATTCATATCAAATATCAATCGACATGTCAATACAATTGTATTTTAGTCGTGATGATTTTTAAATAAACCGTCTTATTATAAATACTGTTATCATAATGAAGTTTATATTTATATTTACATTTTTAAATAATTCTATCGTACACATTATACGGTTCGGTTTTAGGGAGTAAAACTCGTGTAAAACGGTATACTTGCGGCGCCGGACTGTGATATTGATTTTTGAGTGTCACGGCACGTCGTGTAGGCAATTCTGCTACACGAATGTCTATAATATATGCTACACGAAATAATACTGGTCGAATATTATTATTATGATTTTTTTCTATTCAAACAATATTTATGTGATTTTTTTATTAATAATTATCATTCGTATCTTACTTTTCGTGAAATAGTAACGAATTATTTTATTTAAAATATGTAATTACATTTTTTTTGTGTCTTATATTCTTAAAATAATAACAAGGTGTTATAAAATATATAAATAGCTTTTTTAAAATGATTACTATTTTTAATAGTATTTTTGTTAATAATTTATAAAAATTTACAAATAATTTCTTACCTTAAATATTAATTTTTATTATACTTTTTTGTATGGGATGATGACTTACTAAATATTTTTTACACGGTATGTTGTACAATAATATACCTAGCAAGAACATTTATCTATTTTTTCTATTTAATAATTTACTTGTATTGATATACTTGTAACAAGAAATAACTAATATTTTTTTATAAATTATTATTATTAAATCCGTTGTATTATGGAATCAAAAAATATACAGAATCTAGCCGTATTTATTTTTAATTCTTTCATAATTATAATACGGACTATCGCAAAAATATATATTACACATGGACCTTGCACTATTTTAATTGTAACGTACAACTTTTTCTCTCGCATGCAGTCCAACGGTTCAATGACGTACAATATGTTTTATAAATTTTTCACGCAACAATATTGTGTGATCAAATATGACATGTGATAGTGGTTTGTAGATCGATTTCTCGACTGAAAACTGCAGCATGGTTAAATAATAAATATATACAATAATAATAATAATAATAATACAATTGTTTTCATTCATATTGCGCTGCAGTTATGATTTATAAAAATGTTGATACTATCTAGTATAAGCTACACTCGTCAGTTTTGACACACAAAAGTCGGTTGAACGAATAGTAATATATTATTAACATATCATGTTTACTTATTAAGTATTTCCGAAACCAACAGTTTGTTTTGACACGTGATTGGTTGATTGAATGCCAAATAAAATCATTAACAAATGGGATCGTTAATTATCCGGAAAACTTTTTCAATTGCAGATCAGGAAACACGTATACACATACCACGTACACGCAACAGATGGATCGCAATCTCTTTAGAATAGATTATTGTGCGGTTGCGAAAAAAAAAAAATAAATAAAAGCTCAAATATTTTTTGGCTTCTGGAGCAATAACATAGTCTTTGAAAAACCAAAAATGTTTATACTAAATATATTTTTTTTTTTTTTTCTTATTATTCCCCGTTTTCATATTTTATTTCAATATTTTTCATAAGATAACCTATTAACAATAGTAATATATCGTTGATCAACACACATTATAATACAAATATTGTAAACAAAAACTATTAAACCGTGAAAGTTACAAGTTACTTAGATAGAATTATAATATATTGAGTATATAATATTGTTATTTGAACATAATAATGATTGAATTTACTATAAATTATATTATACGAGAATAAAATAATATTTATATAACGGAAATCACATTTCTTTTTAAGATTTTTGACTAGAGATGAAAAATGAATAAACTTAGTAGTTTTGTTTTGCATTGTAAAATAGCAATGTTTAACAAATTACCAACAAGTCGCACGAAGTAACAATGTCTTAGATGCATATTTATTTTCCATTTGACAAGTTATTGAAACGATGGTTTCGACACGTGTTTTGTCAAAACGTCAACTTTACACACAATACATTGACACTTTCAAAATCAATATATATTTATAATATTTATGAAATAACAGAATATTTAAAAAAAAGAAAATATAATAAATACTTGACATGATAAACTAAAATTAATTTAAACCGTATCACTACAATTATAATAAGCAAATTTTAATAACTTAATTCTCTAACAGGATTAAAAAAATTAAACTAAATGATAATATTAATATGATTAAATATTAATATTATATTAAAAAATATTATATTAAAATAAAATTTATATTTAAATAAAAATATTATATTAAATTATATTAATTCAGATTTTGAAATCAACCAGATATACTTTTATATTCTACTTGAGTATTGTTATTTTTATATTTAACGTTAAAAATATACATAGTTTATGTACTCTTTATGGTAAGTAAATACTACGTCACCGTATTGTACTACGACGTACTATAATACGATTAATGTTTTTTTGATGTAAAATATGCGTTTGTGCTTCCACACCGGTGCATATGTTTCTTTTGGAAACAGACAGAAACATAAACATATGAAAACAATAATATCAATGCTTGCGAGTATACGATTTTTATATTGTGTCAAAAAAATTAGAACGCCCACTTTATTTTTGCATATTCTAAAAGGAAAACGGAAAAAAAAATGCATTGCGCGAAAAAAATATTTGTTAGAAGAAAAATAAAAAGAATTTTCTCATAAAAGTTTTAATTTGTTACAGTATTAAAACCACTGTGGCAAGAGCCCTAAACGCAGACAATTAATGATAAATCAGCAATAGCTGCATAAATTTATAAGTATAGGTATAGGTGTGGTAATTAAGGTATAAGTTGGTTTGTTGTCGAACACCTTAACAACGCGATTTTTAATTAATTTAAAACAAATCTAATGAATACTTTTAAACGCCAGCTTACAGCTAATAAACTATACATCTCAATTCTAAATGTCGAATTTTGTGTATCTTTACACATGTGGTAACAATGATTTTAACATACATTAATACATTACCGTGATCAACCGTCAAATAAATTATTTTATTATATCTTAAAAGAAACGGTTTGATAAGAAATATAATAATTTACTGTGCATTCTATAAGATTACACATTTGCTATAATTTATCTGAAAATAACGTTAATTTTCAATTAATTTTAGTCAATGTGACATAGATATTTCGTTTCGATATCTTTTGGTATATCAAAGTTAAATCCAAAAAATTAAAAAAAAAATATGAAAATAAATAAAGCAATGAAATTCTATGAAATTATTTTATGATATTTGATTATTTGACTGAAATTAACAATAGATAACCAAAAATAATAAACTATATTGTAATCGGTTTATAATTAAGAGAATATTCTTTATTCTAGACTAAGTTGTGTACGTACCTTAATTGTAATTGTTTAATAATATATTTAATATACAAATATTTTACATTGTTTCATATCGTCCCATGGTGGTCTCTTCCGTTTTTATTTTCCGTAAAATGAATAAGTATTCTTTTATACATCAAATATACTGCTTATTTTTATAAACGTTGCTTGGTTTTGAAATATAAATAAAAATTGCAATTTCATGCATATTATCATATATAATAAAATGTTAATTTTATAATATACTTAATTTAAATGTCCAATTCAGTTACAATCACAACCATAACTTACACATTGCTACCAAATATCTAAAGGGGTCTGCTTGAGCGTTAGTCTGTTTTTTCCCGTTGGTAAACTCTTATCGTTATTTCTTAGAATATATATTGTACTAAATAATACACATAGAAATATACAAAATATTGTATAAATAATAAAATAAATAATTGTATTGTAAAAATAATAATCTGCATTTATTGTAATATAAAAAATATTTTAAATATTTTAAATATCGATAAAACCTAAAGGCTTGACACCAATCACATTCTTGTGAGTATTGGAATTTCGGGCTTATACAAACCGATTATTGTGCATTTTAATATTTACAATAATTAGTAAAATGAAGTATTGAATAATTATTGTGGTCAATAATTTTTGAATAAGATTTGTTAAATCTTATAAATATTAAATACTAAAAAACTACTATAAATACCTAGGTAAAGTAAAAACAAAAAATAAAAAACTAAGTTGAAGTTATTAATATCAACGATATTTTTTAAATGATATTTTTATGATATAATAATATTAAGTTAAAAAATTTACTAAATTTTGTTCACAAACAATCATAATCTCCATTCACTAACCTTGTAATAAGAAATAAGTATATGTATATATATATATAATTTCATAATTATTCTAAAACTTATAATAATTTATCATTGGCTTTTTATATTTTTGTTTATTTTCGAATGTTATATTTTTCCTTTTAATATATATTCTAATAGGTACAATAAGTATTCAAGGTGATGAAATAAATTATTAAAGAGTATAACTTTATTTTTATGTTAAAGTATTAACATAAGTATAATATTTAAATATTATAATATCTAAAACGAATTTCATCCAAATTTTATTTGTTAACACATAAATAGTTATTTAAATATAGTTCATTGTTTTTTTTATATTGTATATACGAGTATATTGTATAAAAAAACATTTCAATGTGTCGTGTAATAGACAGAACTATCGACGAGATCATATTAAAAACATTAATTAAATGTAATATATATATATATAATTATTATAATTGAGCTACTTAACTACAAAAATACAATTTAAATTTAAAATATATCGCGTTTAGTTCCATATTAGA